GCGAGCCCGCTTTCGCATCTGTTCCCTTAAAAGACGTTTTTGTGTTAAATGCTGCAGGCGAAGCTAAGCCCTAGTAATGAATTATGTAGCTTAATAGGAAAGAAGCATGCTTTTAATAAACCGCTACTTTGAAAAACTGCTTTTATAATTTAAAGTATTTTTTGAAAAGTTTGAAAGAAAAATGCCATGCACTGATTTATTTGTCCATCAGCATTGCAGCTCCTTGACGGCGTATAGATGCCGCTGTCTGTAGGAGGCGTTGGCATGGAAACTTCCGAGCGCGGCCCCCCGCACGGTGCGGTGCATGAGATGCGCCCTACCTCCAGACAGCTGTCACCTCTGGCTGGCTGCATGAAACGGGCATCACACCGAAATGGGGAATTTCCACGTGCTCTTCGGCCTGATGTGGGGGGACGGCGCAGATGCTCCACGTAATGGCAGCATTAGCCAGACGTACTTGTGTAACATTATTTTGCTGTGACTTACTATTGGGCAGCAGCATCATAAAATCTTCACAGATTGAATTCTTAGAATTTATTTGCGTATTTAAACTTTGAGCTTTGCTGTTTTACCAACATTGCTTATGTAGAAATGGGCTTCTTTGTGTTGAGTTCTAGTAGCCCCGTGGCAATGCTCATCTGTTTGTAACTGCAGTACGTATACCGTAGCGTTGCCGTGACAGGTCGGATGCATAAATAGCTGTCTTCGTCCTGCTTAGGTACAGCGGCAAAGGCGACTCCGCCGTTGCAGTTTGTGGCGTGAGAAGAGAAATGAAAGCCACTACCCCCGTTTTTTGCAGTGTCTCTGCCACTCACACTTGCCTCTGTCCTTCACAGCGCTGTGTTTTGCTGCAGTGGTACTCACGCCTTTTTTTCTTCTGCAGTCACTTAGTTTTCCTTACTGAACTGCAGTGTGCATATCCTCATTCAAACAGTTCCTTTGTGTTTAATTCAAATTAAAACTGGAAACAAGATGCTTGTGCCTGTTCATCTTGCAGAACCTGAATGGTATAAAGTACATCATTCCTCTTGAGTGGTCCCTGTGTTGCGTGTGGCATCCTTCAGAGACAGCTCAGCAGCACAACAAAGACCAACCCGACATTTATTAGGTCATTTCGGGGAGTCTGATACATGAGGTTTTCCTACAAGCCTGGGTGAAACAGCATAAAGGAGCATGTTCAGCTCCTGAAGGGGGAAATGTCTGGCTTTTGCGTAAGAACAAGCTCTGGAGGTTGCCTAAAGCATCCTTACTGTTACTTTAGTTTTCTGCTTTCCAATGTACACCATTCTCTCTGTGACTTTCTGTCATTTTCTCTCTCCCTACTATTTTGTTTGACTTCTGTTTTCCACAGGCAATCCTTTCAATCTTCAATTTAGTCATCTCGGTCTCAGAGTATAGTCCAATCTTGAAGGTTTTAATGTTAAGATTAACCCCTCAATGTCGGCATATCCTTAGTAGCAGCTTTGCTTTTACTTTTTCTTGGACCGAGTTGATATTTATGAAAAAGACTTTATGAGCTTTTAAATTTTAAAACATAAAGAGGGTAAGATGAGTGAATAAATAAAGTCTCTGTAATTCTACATCCAGTGCAGATTTTCGCCTCTTGCCAAGTTTTTCCGACATGCGATGCTCTGAATATAGCTAACAACCAGATTCATCTGCCTGAGTGAAATACGTGCGTATTGATCTGCCTAAGTGAAATATGCTTGTATTGTTGAAGTGCAGTGCTATAGATCTGGCTTTGACAGGGAGATGGATGAACCGTTTTAGTGGTAAAACATTTTTTAATGTTGAGAAACCGTCTTGTCTACAAACAATAAAGTGATTTGTAGTAACAAATGGAAAATATTTTTCTTGCTGGAGATTACACCATTTGTTTTCATTTTCCATGACATGTTTTGCTCATTACGCTGCAGAAAGCGAATCCAAAGTTTTATAAAGAACAGCTCATGATGGCAAAATAGGGAATTGAGCTGGGGGCTCGCTGTCATAACAACAGAGCGCGTGGGGCCTGGGGGAGCTCGGTGTTTGGGAAGGAGTCGGGACGGGGATGCTGCTCACCCCGCCCGTGTTCGTGGGAATTACTGTGTCGCTTGTGTAACTCCAGGAAAGCCATGAGGACCGTAGCGTGATGGCCTCAATGCTGTAGAATGCTTCTTGTGTTTCTGGGGGAAATTTTTAAATAAACGGCAGTGTTAAAAGAGGGTGAGAAATGAACTTCATTTGGAGCTCGGGGCTCACGTTAGCGCTGGGTGTGCTGCCTGTGTTCCTGGGGCACGTGCGTGATGGGCTTTTTCTTTGGTTCTGTTTGGGTTTTGGGTAATTGCTGTGGGCAGCACAGGCCTCTGAAGAGAGGGCTGATAGGCAATCGTGGTTTCACCTTTAAATACTTGCCAGCATGCCGTTGTTTTGCCTGGAGGGAAAAGGGTGCAAATTGAAATAGGGTTTGTGTTAATGAATAGTGGTAGCCGAGCTAATGTTTGAGACGCGTATATAAGGTGTGTATCTGCCCTTACCTTGGCAGCAGGGGAAGGGAAAGCATAAACTTGCCAAAACCAAAACATGCAACTGACTTCGCAGCGGTGACACATGGTTGGGAAAACTTGGTTAGTGGTGGTGGAAGGGCTTTTTGGGTTTTGGTGGTTTTCATTTGTTGGGTTTTCTCCAAATTTGGCATTTCATGTAAGTACAATAATCTCAATTTAAGGTGTAGGTGAGCTTTGTATTAAGACTGATGTGGGTCTGTGCCCCATTTCATTCTTGGGCCTTTTGCGGTGGTCTCTTCAGCAGCTGGTCTGGGCGGGCTTCAGAGGCTCCTGTCGGAATCGCTCCTACGGCAAGTTTACGCATTTCGTACCCTGTTGCTGACGTAATTTAAAAGGAGTGGTTGTGTGTTCCAGCTTTTGTTCCTGCTGTGCGATACACCAGCATCTCCTAGGTTGGGTTTTGAAGACAGAGACTGAGAGTCTTTTGCCCTAAAGCCCCGAGTGTTCTGCTGTAGTACGTAACTTAAATTTATCAAGGTCACTGAACCCTATTTAATGTGCTTTCTGGGAAGATGACAGGGTACAAAGGATTGTTTTGTACCCTTGTGTCAGAAGGATGAAGCAGTAATACAGGAGCTCAGTTATTTGTGTGCTGAAGGGGCCATGGTTATCTAGCGATATGACAGATTCGCTAATGATACCTGACAGAAGTATTGCAAAGGAATAATTGCAAAAAAACCCTCTTCTATTATGCAGTGTTTTTAAAAAGAAAATATTTTCTTTTTATAATATCAAGAATACAGATTCCCATGTGGCAAAATACTGAGTTCACGTGCCTAACCCGTAGGTGTAAATTGAATAGAAAATATTATCGCTGTATTTTGAGGCAGTTTCCTGTCTGTAGAGACTTTTGATTTTGGTAATAGATTTTGTATTATAATACTTCTTATTGATTTCAAAACAATTCCAGAATATTGTTGCTGTCTTGCTTGGGAGCTGCTGACGTTGGATGGTTGTTGCTCAGCTATGCTTAAAGTCACCATGCCAGTTTACACCAGCGGAGAGTCAGGCTTTGGTAGCGTAGAATGGCTTTTCTGTTCAGGTTGTTGCATTTAAAACAACCCAACTCTTTCTGCCACTTTTGGTTTTTTTTTTTGAAACATTCATAGCAGTGAAATGGCATTCTTGTTGCGACATCCTGCTTAATTTTTACAAGTTACTCTTGTTTGTTGTTTTTTAAGGAAAAGTCATCAACAAAGACTTGCGCCACTACTTGAGCCTTCAGTTCCAGAAGGGCTCGATAGACCATAAACTCCAGCAAGTGATCAGAGACAATCTCTACTTGAGAACCATCCCTTGTAAGTATGTAAAGATCAGCCTCATTTGGTCTGTTCCTGCTAACCGTCACAAAATTCAAACGCTTTAAATGCCTTCTCTCCTAATCTGGTTTGTAGTTTTCCCTTGCAGCAGGAACTTATGAAAATGGCTTTGCTAGAGTGGTTTCATATCTTAAGTTGCAATGAAAAGGTACGGCCAGTATGGACTGACAAAACAGCAAAAACTTCAGCATTCAAAGATCAGAGTATTTCAGGAATATTTGTGTTTTAGTCATCGGAAGTTTGTCAGTTGTTGTTAGAATAACCACAGCCACCATGGGAAACAAACCTTCCTCAGCCTGATCAAGCAGTGCAAACATGTCCTGATTTTTGTCGATATATTGGTTTTTGCACAAAGAGGAAACTTACACCTCAAAAGGGTCGCATGCATTAGGCAGAGTACGCAGCTGGAAGCAGAGTTGCGGGAGGGATTCTGTGCAGAAAGGGTTGCAGTGACAGAAGGTGCAGGGGAGCTGTTCTTCGCTCGTCCTGAGAAGATACTACAAGGAGGTGGCGGCAAGAGGGAGAGCGAATCCGTGGCCCAAGAAGAGAGGAAGGAACAAACTTTAGTGTCACAGCAAGAATTAATTAGCCAGAATCTGGATGGACCTGTCTCATCAGTTACGGAAGCCCTTCTGCTCTGAGCGCCCGCTGGCGTCTCTTGGTCCAGCCAGCACGGGTGCTAACTTGCCTTTAGCGAGGTGCCTAGAGGTTTCTGCTCCTGCGAGCGGAAGCTTGCAGAAAGGACTGGTCAAGGTGCAGGATGCTCTGACAGCTGCCAAATACCCGCTCGTTGCTTCTCACCCTTCTGTGCCATTTCATTTCTTAATTATCACGAGATCATCCTTTACCTTGTCTCAAAGGTTCACTGATTAAAAAGGCTCGTCACCGATAGTATTTAAATGTTCATTGCACTAAAAAAAGTTTGTCAGCTAATGTTTTTGTGACTACAGTAATTCCATTCTCAATTTAGCATCACTATCATACTGAGTGCACCAAAGAGCTTGTGACTTTTTTAAAAGATAATGATAGTGAAAGGCAGTTTGTTTACTAGTAACTCTTGTTCATGCTGCTGCCTGAAAAAAATGATGTATGCCTTTAAAATGCTATTAGGTTATAGACGTTAATGAATCAGCGGAGTCCCTTCCAGGAGAGCTTTAATTAAGCTATTATAACTATGGGAGGCCCATATTTATAGACATAACACTTTGAGAACTTCTGCATTAACACAGCAATTTACTGATCGCTTTGAAAAAGCTTACCTGTAGCTAGGGTTTGGAGTATAGATGAATTACACTCTGAATTGTAAGGTTAAAAAAATAGGTTTTGTGCCCAGTTACGGATTTGGTGGCCCAAAAATCAAATGTGCTTAGTCACGCTGACCTCGTTACAAATCAGTAAGTTGGTATTGGTGGAAACAATGGAAAGAAGCAGCTCCATCACAGCTGTGTTAAAGTACCACAGCTCTTAACCAGCTCCCCAGAATCCTCGACTGCTGTCACCTGGCCCAGGCGTCATCAACTTCCACAGAATAAGTTTTCAGTTCACTGAACGTGAAAAAGAATTCTTGCTAATTACCACCTCACCCAGCTTTTTTCGTCCTCCTTCCTCAATACCAGAACTGTCATTGCTATGTAATTTATTGGTCTAGTTTTTATAAATTATTGTTCACTTGCTCACCAGTGTTCCAACTCTTGTCTTACTGGAGTGACATCATCATTGTATAAAGATTCAAAAATTTAGTGTTTTTACTGATTTGTACAGCAGGCAGCATTTGGTAAACAGGCAGCACTTCAGTCTCTTACAAGAGTGTTTTCTCTGTCTTTTCAGGCACTACACGGGCTCCCAGAGATGGGGAGGTCCCTGGGGTAGACTATAATTTCATTCCTGTTGAGCAGTTTAAAGCACTGGAAGAAAGTGGAGCCTTGCTAGAAAGTGGAACGTATGACGGTATGTTGATGACGTTTAATGGTCTAAGTGTAGCTCCTTGTACCCAGGAGGGGCCACTTTCCCTGCCCTTCGAGGTCATTACGCTAGTAGAGCGCAATATTAAATCTATTTTTGGAGTACCTGTGAAGAGGACTCGTCGTCTTGTTCTGAAGCTCTCTAGTAAATCACAAGTTGTCCTTTCAACCAGTCTTAGTGCAATCTCATTATTTTCCTTATTGTGTTTTTGAGGAAGCATTCTGAAAATGTTTGTCTATGCTTGGTAGAGTTTTGTTTTAATGGGATTCACAATCAATTTTGTTTAAACCTTTGAGAACAGAGCCATGTTCTTCTCAGAGGTGCACATCAAAAGGACAGAAGGCAAGGGAAGTTCTGATACAGCAGGGAAAAAAACATATTTTGCAATGAAAAATTGAACAGCACTAGACCAGATTGTCCAAATCTGTAGCAACGTTGTTTGTTAAACGTGACAGGGAAAAACATTGTAATGGAGGCAGTGAACCGTCAGGAGCTGGTTATCCAGAGGAGTCGTGGAGCTGCCACCGCGTGACGGGTTTTTCCTTTGCTTTGCTTTGTTTTGTTTTAAAGGGTTTGATGGCAGTCAGAGATAACTTTAAGGTTCCTCACTCCCTGTACTCTGGGGTGGGGGGACAACTGAAACCCACCTTTGTTTAGTAAGAGGGAGGAGAGACCAGTTGGACTGGCTCAGCCCTGGGGCGTCTTGCACTCCCGTGGAGTGTGCCCGGCTTGCAGGTGGGTTTCAAGTAGCCATTGCCTGGTTTCTGCTGCTTTTTGCTATTGAACACCTTACCTCTTGACACCGTGAACAGAACAAATTACAAACATCTCGCATTGCTTTTTGTGTCTCAGTTTATAAAACCTGAAATACGATCTGGCTAGATTTTTTTCAAATATATAGTTGTATTTGAAGTCAACTAAATTACAACCAGATTTACAGAAATGCTGAGCATGTGCAGGTTCATTGATGCTCAACAGAATTTTACCTGCCTGATTTTTACATATGTTTAACATATATTTGATTCAAGCAATATTTAGAGGTCTTCTTTGGTAGGTGGTGGTTTTACTGGCACTTGAATGAATTTGATTGATTTCCCCCCCCCGCCCCCCAAAAAAAAAGAAAAGGAAAAGAAAATGTCCAAAGTAGAAAATTCTGTGAAAGGCTCTGTACCTCCTTGTTTTACACGCGTCATGCTGTCTGTTAACATTGTCTTGTCCGTGGAAATCTCCTAAGCCAATTTAGACCAAACTAGCACTTTTTTGTTTCCCTTAGCTCCCCTTTATCTGGCTGTCACCACTTTGAGCCTCGCCCTCACTGATATTTTCAGAAGGGTTTTTTTTGTTGGGGTTCTTTTTGTTTGGGTTTTTTTGGTTTTTTTGGTTTTTTTACATGGTCAAAACCATATCCAGCCACCAAATGTTACCCCAGCAGGA